GGGGCGGGGAAACAAGTCGCTGCGGGCCGGTGCTGAAAATTGGATGAAAAAAGGAAGACCGGAAGGAGTGGAACGCGACATGTTTTAGATGTTTGCCTTTCCCTACTTCCCCGGCGTCCGCACACAGGCCGGCAATCGGGCCTATCGCAGCGATCAGTTCCCCCTGGCCCGCCACTGCTATACATGCGCCCTCGAGCTGCTGCTCCCGCCAGCAAACACCGGGGGGTCCGCTGGCAGCAGCAGTGGTGGCGGCGCGGCGCCGGCCAGGGGGGCGGCGGCGGTGGCAGCTGGCGCTGTGAGCAGCAACGGGGGCAGTGCGGAGCATCCCACCCCAGCGGCCGTAGCGGCAGCGCGCGACCGTGCCGCCGCCGCCGCTGCCGCCGCCGCCGCCGCTGGGCGTGGGGTCGGGTTCCCTGGCGAGCGGCGCATGATAGCGGCGCTGTACTGCAGCCGTGCGGCGGCGCATGTGGCCATGCGGCTGTACACGGATGCAGTGGCGGATTGCTGTGCGGCAAACGCCCACGACGAGTCGTACGCCAAACCGTGGAAGGTACGGCCGTACGGTGATGCGTAGCGTTCATCCGAAACGTGGGTGGTTTTTTTCCCTGCTTGCTGGTGTGAGTGGCCACTTCAGGTTCATCGCTGCCAAGTGACGAGGGACACGTGGGGATAAGGCCCTCGCATGTTTGAGGCCCAACCGCGTAGCTTCTAGCGTCTGCATCAGGATTTGGGTTTAGGCAACGTTTGGTGTTTGCTGACTACCATAATCCATTTCTGCTTTCCTTTTACAATCTGCTGTTGCTGCTGCTGCTTCAGTGCCGAGCCGAGGCTCTCGCGTCTGTGAACGCTTTTGGAACTGCCGCTGTTGCCCTGGAGCAATGCATACAGCTGGTCACCGAAGCAGCGGCGGCGGCGGCAGCTGCCGCCGCCGCCGCCGCCAGTGCACCCCAGCCCAAAGGCGACGGCGGTGCAGCTGACAGCGATATCGCTGCCTGCGCCACCGCTGGCGGCGGCGGCGGCCGCGATCACCTTGTGGAGAATAGCGACGTGGACCCCCGGGAACTTCCCCTGCTACGCCACATCCTGCAACGGCTTCAGGAGCTAGCGCGCGCAGCTGCAGCACCGCCGCCGGCCGCCGCTGTTGCCCTGTTGGCCGCGGTCAAGGGTGCCCATTCGGCGGCGGCGCCGCCGCCAGTCGACTACTACGCCGTCCTCGGCGTGCCGTACCACGCATCGGCTGTGGATGTACGGGCGGCGTACCGCCGGCTGGCGCTGCGGTATCACCCGGACAAGGCTGCGGCAGTGGCTGCGGCGCCAGGGGCTGGGGCGGCGATGCCAGCGGCGGGGGCGGCGACGGCGTTGTCGTCGCCAATGCGGGCGGCAGTGGTGGTTGCGGCCAATACAGTGTTTCCAATGGTGGCGGAGGCGTATGCGGTGTTGTCGGACAGTGCCAGTCGCCGTGCATATGATCTGCGACGTGCTCGTGTTGCCCTCAGCACCAGACGCCAGGGCGCTAATTGAGAGGAAAAGAGCGATAAAAGAAGAATGAGCGATATATAGACAAAGTAAAGGGAGGGAGAGTGGGAGAGAGAGAGATGTGTATAGTTGGCGCCCAGGGGCCATCCATTGTGATCCGAGCAGTTGATGGTTGCTGTTATGGTTGCCGTGTTATGGTTGCAGTTGTTTGTTGACCGAATAGCCTTTGGCGTTGCTTGCGTGCATTGCGTCTGATGCACTTGCATGGCTGGGGCTGCCAGTTTCAGTCCTCTTGCAGTTGGGAGTTGACAGTTAAAAGTTGGAGGTTTGCGGGACCAAGACGCTAGAGGTGAGACATGGAAGTTGGGAGGGGCTTTCTGACCTGCATGTGTTGCTGTCGTTGCACCCGCCACATTCGCCATTCGCCACCACACAACTGTGAGCGACAAGAGGTCAGAGGTGGCTGAGAATACTTTGCTGCATAGAGCATAATGAGGCGAGGCGGCGGAAGAGGGCCACCGAGAAGTCCCTCTCCAGGAGACAGAAACTTCGGGTGGCCACAGTGGTAAGAGGAGGTAATGGTAATGGTGGAGGAGGAAGAGGAGCAGGCGGAAAAGGAAGGTCCAGGGGGCTGGGTGAGATAGCGGGGACACAAATCTGATGTGGGTCAACTGGATCTTTGAAATTCGGAATCCAAATCTGGAGATGACTATCTGTCTGGGCTCAATAGGGACGGGGTTCCTTCATTAATGAACTCCGTGGGCCGCCGGGAATGTAGTAAACGTACCGAGGGCTTTGCGGGTTAAGGCGAGCTAATTAAGTTATTGAACATAAGCGTTATATTTCGTGCACGCGACACACAGAGCGACATGGAATTTTAAATAACAAGGGACAATAAAAAAGAAGAAAAAGCAGAAGAACAAAAGGTCGAATTGAGAACCGGCAGAGTGTCCTGCGGATTGTTGAGTTCTGTTCTGCTCCCTGCTGGCGAGGGTTGGTGCTTTTCCTTTTCCGTTTTCTTCTCCTTTTCCTCCTCTACCTCCTCCACCTCCTTTTGATTTGTTGCATCACCGTTAATGATCACTTCTCCCTCAACCTTCTCCCTCAAATTTCATGTCGCATTTTCCTCCAATCCTCGCCGACCAGTACTCGCAGACCTACATGCGGTAATGGATCCTCAAGACCGAAATGCTGCTGCTGCTGCTGCTGCTGCTACTGCTGCTGCTGCGCTTGCGCAGTCCCTTATTCTATACTTGCTGGCAACTTGCCGAGTTCAGGGACACTCGCATGCAATGATTCACCCATGTCCCAAATTCGTTCGCGCAATGGATTTATGCCGCGTACAGCTGGTACAGTACTGTGAGCCACTTGATCCTGCTGAGCTGTCGGTTACACGCAACAAGCCCAAACGGGGAACCAATTTTGGATCCTGTCCTTCTAATCCGGATTTTTTGGGCAGCCCACACAGCCTTTGCAGCGTTGTCCCCCCTCGTCCAGTGCCTCGCCTTGTGCAATCTCAATGAGCTTTAAATATCTTTAAGTTCAAAGTGTGGGCGATCAGAGGTGTTGCTCGCCTGCCTGCTTGCTTAGGAAGGGGGAATGTTGTGAGCGATGTCATCGACTGGGCGGCGGATTAGAGAGGGGCGAGACGGCGGCGGCCCAACATTACATCGGTCATCTTGCCCTGGAGGAGGTGGGCACATGTGCTGCAGCTGATGGTACTGCTATTGCTACTGCTACCTCTGTAGAATGACTTTTTGACTTGCCGTTGCAGTAGCAATCATATTAGTTGGTTGCGCAGCAGTTGCAGTAATATCTGTGTGTGTGTGTGTATGTGTCATCAACCCGATGAAGGAGCACTGGGGAGCTGAAGTAGCTGGTACCCTGTACGGCACCTTGAACAACCACAAATGCGCGCGAAGTGCTTCATCAGCATCTCGAGAGGCCTTTTCAGCGGCCAGCCACTACAACTGGTATCGAGACCTCGTACATGTTAACATTCCTGACGTCGTCCCTCCGAATATCCACGCATGTTGACCATTGGGTCAGACGATTAATTGCACGAAGTGATAAAGTAGCTGTGGCTATGTGGCAAGACTCTGTCCCTGAAAACCTTAAAGACGGTGTGGACTGTTCACCCACAGCCCGCGGGTAGGCGAAGATAGGCACAGGCTGATGGTGTATGTGGCCGTAAGGGTCCTTGACGGATCCCTTCAAAGGGGGAGGAATGTAGCAGCTGGTACACCGTACGGCACCTTGAACAAAAACGCGAATGGTTGCACTATGATCCCCTCCACTGCTGCCCCTCCACTTCACTCCAATCAGGCCATCTGTGAGTGTGTGTGTGTGTGTGTTACATGGTCTTGGGTGCATTCCCGTACTACAGGGAGTACCTGCAAACCACCCAATACGAGCCGAGGGCTGAAGGGCTGCCAGGTCGCCTATAAGCACCATCCTACCTCGCACTTCAGACTAAGCAAGTGATAAAGGAGACTAACGATAGGCTTGCGGTGGGACCACATATGTTCAGGTTCCCACTTCCCAATCAGGCATCTATCAAACAACCTCCCCATCATACCCTTGCAGCTCCCCGCCGTCTTCAATCTTCCTCTCCCTCACAGAAATTCGCTGCTGTTTATTTGCTTTGCTTAATACGCACATCTGCAACTGTTGTAGACCCCCCTGGCTCGTCCCAACAGCTAACTCGGCGCTATGCTCTCAATCCAGGCATGAACAGCAACAGCGTTTTCATCCCACACGTATTGATTTTTTCTGGTCTTGGCCCAGCTCCTGGCCTCCTCCCAGTCCACCGGGCAACCCTCGGCGCGCAGCCACTGAAGGACCTTTACGGTACTGCCCCTGTGAAGGGTCTCTAGGGTAATGCCATAGTCCTTGTCGTACACCGCTCGGCTGAAGACGCCGGGGCCCCAGGGGCAGCCCAGCCGCCTCAGGCAACGCAGGATGACCAGGTCGTGATGGTGTGCTGCCGTTACGTAAAGCTCACCATCATCCTGCAACATAGCAACGAGCGAGGTGTATGAAGCTGGTTCCCGAGAAAACAGCCGTAATAGATGGCGACTGAAAAGGCCTCTCAAGATGCTGAAAATGTGCTCCCAGCATGTGTATGAATTGACTGCGTGCGCCAGAGTGTACGACCACCACTACATTCCGAATACATAAATGCAGACCATCAGACAGTCAAATGGAAACCTAGAGACAGGTCCTTTACCATCCAGTCCAGAGGTCAGCAGCAGAAATGATGCAGACCGGATAAAAGCCAAGCATGAGAGTCCTTCACATCGCAATCAGCCAAGACACCAGCAGACGCCAGACAGTGCGTGGCATACATTCAGTGATGAGCAGTAGAGCTGAGTAGCACCAACAGCACGCATCAAGAACATGCACCCGAACTCATGCGAGCGAGCCACTCACCCCCATGGGGACGCCCCGGGCCACAAGCCACTCCAAGACTGCTGGACTGCCTGCCGTCACTGCTGCATTAAGAAGCTCCTCTCCACTCCAGGGCAAGGCTAGCTCGTTTAGCAGCCATTCCACGACCTCCACACTACCAGATATTGTTGCATGTGTCAACAGAGCCTGGTACTTCTGGACGAGCTCCTGGATGAACTCTCGACCACCACATGCATCCATCCATTTAAGAATGTGCAGGTGACCGCCCTCAACTGCGGCCATCACAGTCCACCCATCAAGAAGCCAGCCCAAGGTCACCAGCTCGACCAGCAGCGCCATGTTGCCAGCACGGGCTGCTACTGTTAATGCATCCCTCGTGCGTTCTGGAAGCCAGTCCCTCCCCACTCGCAAGTAGCGTATCAGGGACAGGTTAACAGCACGTACGGCGCTGATGAAGACCCTTGGTACGACATCCTTTTCCTCTACCTCCATAAGCAGCCGCTGTACCCGCTCCACAGCATCTGGACGGCTGGCAAGGGCCTCCTTATTTACAATGCCATCGAAGCGATATCCCTGAACCTGCAGCCACTCCACCTTGGCCCGCCAGTCGGGGGTGGGGCTCACCAGAGCCTCCGCAAGGGTGTTGTTGCCAAAATTATCACCAAAATCACCACTGTACATCGTGTACATGTGCTGCAATGCCGCCAGGTCGAAGCCATATGCAGCTCCGTCGACAACATCGTCCATAACTCCCGGCATTGACCCAAATCCTGACTCAATCCGATGAAGGAGCCTGTTTGTGAGGCCCACATGGCCACCGCGGGCGGCATCAAAAATACCCGTCCAGTCGTCCAACGGAGTACCGTCCTCCAGGAGCCCCTCACACACAGTCTGATGACCGGCAAAGGCGGCTGCTATAAATGCTTGGGAACCGGCTCTCCGTAGCTCAAAACCACGCTCCTGTTGCAGCAGCCACCGGACCATTACCAGATGGCCACTTCGGGCAGCTGCTGCTGCCGCTTTCTCAGAAACGTCGAAGCAGTCTTCTTCCTGCAGCCACTGGCACATCTCAATATTGCCGCTCTCGGCTGCTGCGTTGAAGACCTCCGAGGAGAGCTCGCAGCCCGCTGCCTTGACGGCGACCTGCAGGTTGGCCAGGCTGCCGCTGCGGGCCGTCAGGAGTAGAAGATCTCGGCGTTTACTTCGTACGAAGTTGTGAACTGCCTCCGGGCGGCTCCAGTGCCTATTGAACGCGTGATGGGGTACGGGCTGCGACAGCCGGATAGCTACTTTTTCCCGAAACTGGCTCGCCATGGCCTTATTGATTTCCTTGACGGTACATACCACCTCGTTTGGATCCAGGAAGCTAACAACACGCTCGACAATGTCCGCCGTTAAATTATCCCAACTGTGACCTTCGTCAGGATTCATGTTTCAGTCTAAAAAAGAAAAATGCAAGTAGACGAGGTCGATTATTTCAACGTCTGAGATAGTGGTCTTTAAAGCAGTACGCGGTTTGTTACAGCGGACCCCGAGTGCATCAGCACACTGCAGTGTCCTGTTAGTCGGGCCAGGGCGCACTTACACATACCTGAAACACGCGATAAAATCCCAGGACGGGCGTATATGAAAGGCGAAGCATAACCTTACCAAGGAAAAATACCACCTGCCAAAACCGGATGCGAGCCTTCGCCCCAGAAAAGGCAAATGGACCTCCAAGACGCAAAACGCCCAGTCCCCCACCAGTACCCAGAAGCCCTAGTGATCGCACAGAGAGCTCCCCCCGGAGAGACGGGAACGCAGCTACCTACCATACGAGACGGACCCGCGAAGCACGCCGAGCCGTTCACACAGACCGACGAGGGCGACTAAATTCAAACACATAAAGGGCGAAGTATAAGCCCTCAGACCAACATACGTGAAACACGATACACGACGAACTTCTGTCACTGGCAGTGTGGGGCCATCTTGAATTTGGAAGCGTCGTCTCAGGGAGGCTTGCCCGAACGCTCCAGCTGCTCCATAGCCTTGATATACCAGATCAATGCCGAGGAAGGGCAACGACGCCAGAGCCTAGGGGGACGTGAAGGGCGAGATGAAGCCCCAGACAGTCCTCCATAACAATGGAGCAGAGCTCCACGAAGAAGATGTCCGAGCCGCCGGTAGAGACAACCAGAAAAATTCTCTTGGGCCAAAAGACCGACAAAAAATGTTGAAGGTCTCGAAGACTCAACGGACTGTTACGGATTAAGTTAAGGAATAAGTTATCCTCTCGCACAAACGTGCCGATATTTTTTAGCGTAAAATGTGCCTATTATAGATCTGACCAGATACGCGCGACAAGTGCTGAAAATTAATTAGAGAAACAAGAACTGTCTGACAATTCGTCAACTCACACGTCCGGCTTGCCACACGTCCATACAGACGGCGACAAACGGCTTTCAGTTAGTATGTCCCAAAACATACTACATTGCCTCGCTGTTTTACATTTAAGAATGATTAAGAGGAATAATTTAACTTATCAAGGTACTGAGTGTTGTATTTCGGCCAGGCCTTCATTGTGAATTAAATTCCAACCATCTTGCAAATGCCGTCGCCACAGGACGTTGACGCGCAGCGTATCCCGGTCACCGTCGTTACTGGCTTCTTGGGAAGCGGAAAGACGACCCTAATCAACCGTATTTTGAAAGAGAAGCATGGCCGCAAAATCGCCGTCATCGAAAACGAGTTTGGCGAAATTGGTATCGACGATGGCATCGTTTTCAACTCTCAGGAGAACATCCTGGAGATGAACAATGGGTAAGCAGGCTAAACGATGTGATAATAACCAGTATTTCCTGACTTTCCTTATCTTTTGGCCCTGTTGCGCATCTATCGCGCATCCCCTCTGTCGGTTTTAACGCAAGACCATGGCAACCACTTTTTCCCTTGTGACTCAATCACCAGGTGCATTTGTTGCACTGTTCGTGGCGACTTGATCAAGATCCTCAAAAAGCTTTGGAAGCGTAAGAACAAGATTGAGCACGTCCTCATCGAGACGACGGGCCTCGCCGACCCAGCCCCTGTAGCACAGACATTTTTCGTGGATGACGACGTGCAAGTAAGTCGCGCTTGCCTGTCTCGCCATGTTGTGACTTGCAATGCATGGCACGTGCTTTGATTACCTCGCAATAGTGCGACGTCCGAACTACAGTCATCACCAGTACTGTTGCAGCGACCGCAAAACACAGGACATCAGCGGATGCATACTTTTATACTGAGTGGTGGGCAGATTGGACCCTTTCCTTTGAACTTTCAGCAGCAATACAGGCGCATGCTTGTCATGAAGTATGTAACGTCTGCCGCAGTCTTAGCTAACCCTGCGGTAGCTATGTACGGCTCTATCTAGCACCTGTCTCACCACAGGGATGGTGTGTATTTTCTTTACATCCAAAGGCGCGTCCTTCCCCCTCCAGGAGCATTACCGCCTGGATGCCATCATTACTGTGGTCGACGCTAAGCACCTGATTCAGCACCTGGACGACGACAAGCCCGAAGGCGTAGAAAACGAGGTGGGGTCAGAAACGACAACGTACCTTCGCGATGAGAGCAGTGACAGAAGGACATAGCTACGCTACTTACCTTCATGCTATAATCGGCAATTTACATACTAACCTACATACATACACAGCCACAGCCGCAGCAACTGTTACCAGTGGTGCAGCAGGTGGCGGCCTCCTGCTGCTGCTACTGCCACTACCTACCTACCTACTTCGTGTAGTGCGTGAGTGCTCCCCTTGTTGCATGCAACCTGGAGTCCTCTGATGCCCCGGAGCTCGCCCAGTCCTTACAGCAGCAGGGCGCCTTCACCACGATCCGATTTAGACCCGCACGTGGCTCGTAAAGCTACTCACGGCTACCCCCGTCTGCCCTGCTACTATCTGGCTTTGCAGGCGGTAGAGCAGCTGGCGTTCGCCGACAAGGTGCTGCTTAACAAGGTCGACCTGGTGTCCGCCGAGGAGAAGCAGGAGGTCGTCAAGCGCATCAAGGTGCGAACTTCGCCTTACAGATTCGGAATACTTTTATTCCCGCGACTAAAAACCTATTCCTCCGTTCGGACTGGAAAATTGACAGGCAAAAATGGAAAAAAAACACTGGTGCGAAGGCAGTCACTCGGTTGAGGGATAGTTGTCGAGCGAGCCAGATAGTCAGCTGCCGACGCAACGTCATGAGGCTATTTTCTAGTGTTGAGTTCTCGTTTCTCGTTTCACTTTATGCACTCCTTCAATTGGCACATACACACTGCCCATACCTATGTACATCGCCGTGCTGATGGTGTCACAGGCCATCAATTCGTCAGCCGACATTATTGAGACGGTGCAAGGCAACGCCCCCCTGGAGCGCATCCTGGAGATCAAGGCATTCTCGTTGGAGCGAATCTTGGAGGGCGAGCCGACCTTTCTGGAGGTGAGCGGCCGAGCTCTAAGAATTGACGTTTATGTCCAGTCGTAACAGTGCTTTGCATGCATCCTTAGACTGCACCGTAGTCACTTGGCGACATGTACTTGAACACCCCACCTGCATAGCATCCACACGAAGTTATGCATGGCAGTTCAATTGCTGAAGTACGGCACCCTGAAACCATGCACACTGTGAATGTTCCCGCGTATGGACATCCATGCAGTCGGATGGCGAGCACCAGCATGACTCCTCTGTTACCAGCGTGGGCCTTGAGCTGGAGGGCGAAATGGACATGAAAAAGCTGGACAGCTGGCTCGGCGCCATCCTACGCGAGAAGGGCACGGACATCTTCCGCAGCAAGGGCATCCTCGCTATCAAGGGCACAGCAGACAAGTGGGTAACACATAGTTGCAAAAATTATTAAACTTGTCCTATATAGGCTATTTTGGTCACTGCACTAAATGCTGCAAGCAGCGGCTGTCTGCATAATAGCCATCTGCGTGTCAAAGTACCAGAACCACGACCTGGGGTTACTCAGTACTTTCGCCACGCACCACACCACGCAATGCCCAAGGGCAACACCACCCCACAGTTCCCACGAACGGTGCACGTCACTGTCTCGCGCCATGCAGATTGGTGTTCCAGGGTGTCCACATGCTGATGGGCTTCGCCAGCAGCAGTGAGGGTGTCGGCAAGCCCTGGCAGGATGGGGAGAGGCGAGTGAACCGCATCGTTTTCATTGGGCGGCACCTGGACCGAAAGCAGCTGGCGAGCAGCTTCACGGCGTGCCTGGCAGACTAACAGATTTAGTAAATGTAGTACATGCTCGGGGGCAATTAGTTGTTTAATAACATAGGACATTAGTACGACCTGACGTGAGGAATGGACGGTGTTTCCCCGACGTAGGTGGGGGAGCCTATCACGTCATAATGTGTCCGGGGCATCGTCTGCGCTAGTGTACGACAGGGGCCGGATTTAATGTGCGCCAGTCACATGTTTGGTTTGGCACGCAGGGCTATGTGGCCTCGTTTCTTCCCACTTTACGTGTGGCATGAATGACGCATAGGTAGGAGCGCATCTGCATGTGGATGAGCTAAACCCTAAGGTCCTAGGGCAATGGCACATCCTGCTAAACCGCTGTGGGAAATTTTCGGTGCCAAGTGTATGGGCAAGAAAAATACGATCAAGTTATCACCTTGCGGCAGTGTTTAAGCAGCCCCTCGCACAAATGTGAGCGGTCGTACTCTGCCGAATAGACCCTCCGTACTTCGTCCCCAAAGCCAGGAGCGAATTTTGCCTCGCGGATGCGCACGTGCGTTTCGAAAAATGCGCCTGTACAAGTGTATGTAAATTTTCTTGGCGAAAAGTCGTGGTGTGTCAGCGCGCTTGTGCGGCAGCATGTTGGCCACAGTTGCACGCGGCAAGCAGGACCGTAGGAATGTATGGCTGTCTTGACGTAACTGAAAGCATATAACTTGGTATGAACACGCGCGCATGGAATGGCCGCGGAAGATGAAGCGCCTGGCGAAGCGGCACTTTTCGAAAAGACGTGGCGCCTGCTTACATACGCAAACAGCATCTTTTTTCGTCTGAAGTCAAAATACAAACTGTCGCAAATTAAAGATAGCATACACAAAATTAAACATAAGAACTGGAAAATCGGTCACAGCTGTGTAACTGAAATGGACGCCGCAGGAAACTTGGAGCTGGTTTTTTCTGTGCATATGGCCGCTCCTGCGTTAGCCGTGTTGCAGCAGCTCCGGAAGGACCTCAGCAAGCAGCAGGCTCAGAAGCTGCTGGACAACCACCGTAACTTTCTTCAGTTGGGCACGTGCAGTTTTGGTCGGCGGGGTCAAACATC